GAGGAGGACTCGGCTCATCCCACTGCCCAGAGCAGCCCCATCTTTTGGGATCTCCCACAAGACTGGGATTGGATGCTACATGCAGGGAGATGAGATTTTGGGGAACCCCTAAATGCCCTTCCTCATAAAAAGAAGTGGGGTTTTCTAGCTGAACAAGGACAGCCTGGCTCCGAGGCCGTGCAGGATGCGGCCTGCATGTGTAAATTGTTTCCAAATGGAAACAATTATTCTTTCAAGGATTAAAAAATAATCACATCTCATCAACGTTGCTGTTTAGTGCTTGTAAGAAAATTGTAGAAGCTGTTTGGTTTTGGATTTTTTTTTTTTTTAATGGTGCAAAAAACTATCATCTGGAAAAGTGGGCATCAGGGAAAAGTGGGTTTTCAGTTTGCATGTAGTCATGGAGCAAAGAGGAATTTGTGTTAGACAATACTGAAATAGCTTTTTTCAAGCAAAAAGAAAATTGTTAGCAAAGGTTTGTCAATAATCATGTTCATTGCTTAAAAAATAGTATTTAAACTATTGTGATATAAATGGTCTTAATGCTTAAACATGACAGCTCTTGGTAGGAATGTTTCCAATGTTTTGTCATGCTGCTGGCTGATATGATTCTGGGGTCTCGCACCAGGGACCCAGAAGTCAGGGCTGATGAAGGAGCAGCCTCCTGCCCAGGATTCTTCCAGGCTCACAGCAGTGAGTGGTGTGTACTTGGGGTAGTTCCTTGTATGACCATAAATTAAATAATGTATTTAAACACAATAATTTAAAAGCATTAGAAAGGACAAATAATTAGTGCAGCAGCAGTGGTGTTGTATGGAGTAGAAACATGTTATTTTTTGAGGGCTTCTGATTCTTCTGCGCGGAGGACTTCAGGGAGGGAAGAGGAGTAGCATTAACTGGGGAAGAGGTGACATCTCAGAGCAAGTCTCTTGGACTCAGCTTATTCACAGTCAGTGCCAGTGATTCCCAGCTGCTATTTAGAGGACTCACAGTTAATTTCTTGTTTCTCATTCCCTTTTCTCCCCTTTCCCTTCAGCTGGGAAGCTGGGAGCAGCCACAGCAACCTGGCTGCCTTCCTTTACTTTCCTTGTGACGGGCCTGGCAGGGCGTGCTTGGCCACAGCTTTTGCCAGAGCTTTCTTCTCACACAAAAATGTGCTGAGGAACCACATGGCCAGCAGACACTGTCCCGCCTGTGAGGATTTACAGCGTGGCCTATAGGAAAGGATGATCCCTGTTCCCTGCCTGTGCTGCAGATGACCCAGGGCCTTTTGCAGGGATACTAAAATATTGTCATGTTCTTTTGTTCCTTGAAATATAATATTCTACCCTTTTTTGAAACCACAGAGACAGAGATGGAAAGGCAGCCCTTTGAATTTGTCAAAATTTGACTGCAGGGTTCCTTCCGACCCCTGTGCTAATTTTTATCAGAGCAGGAAACATTAAAAATAACCATAAGAGAAGATTTCCCAACTCAGAAGGATTGTCCTCTTAGTAATCTCTGGCTTTGTTTTTACTAGATATTTTCCCCCCTTAAAATTCATGTAATGCTTTAAGAGCAGGTCCATCCCTGCCAGCAGCAGTGAGGACACTGGAGGGGGATGGCAGAGGGCCAGGCTGGCACCTCGGCTTGCTCTGAGCCAGAGGTGAGTGATGTACGTGGGAAATGCTTGTTATTTATTGGAAGAGCTTTTGCATGTGAACCAGAGCTTGCAAGCTCCACATCTTCCCTTTTGGGTGAGCTCAAAACTGTTCTCAAGCCTTCAGCTGACCTCAGCAATGGGTGGATCTCCTTTTTGCAATGAGAGGTGATATTTTGGTGCTGTATCTCAAGACTTCTGATCTTCTACTGTGAAGCAAAATAAAAAATACATCAGAATTTGTTTTAAAATGCATCTGAATGTGGTCCCTTACTCTGAAATTGAAATGCTGTGTGGCAAAACCAAGGCATGCATCAAGACTACATGATATAGTAACAAGCCCTGCTCAAGCTCCAGCATCTTATCTGACCCATGTCTGCATTCTCAGGGTCAAGGTATAATTGGTATCATTAAATAATAGATCATCAATGTATACCATAAAATATATTAAATTTATAAATAATGTCCAGCTGATGGCAAAGGGAGAGTACCATTGGATCACTGTGGATGATTATTCCTACAGGAACACGTGTGCCTATGTTACTCTTCGTGAGGGGTGAAACCAAGGCATGTAATTCCAATTATCCCTCACCTCTGCTCCATCACCAGCTGTCCCCACTAACCCAGCTCCTCCTGCTTATTCTCTTTGCAAAACTGGCAGCAACAATTTTTCTTTTCAAATGGGGAAGGGTGTCCCACAGGGCTGGTTTGGCCAGGCTGGTCCTGGAACACAGCTGGTCCTCAGTGTGGTCAGAAAATGAGATGTAAGTGGGTTACCAGCTGGGAAGGGCCTCTAGGGTGATCTGGGACCCCAACAGTGTGGGTCCCTGAAGCACCCATGGTTGACAGGTTTTGTCCCCTTAGCCAGTGCAGTGATAGTTTTGGTCAGAACTATGTTTTGGGGGAAATTGATTGACTTTTCCCTCTATATTGTTTTAAAACATTGGGTTTGTCCTAGGCACAAAGTTTGTCCCCTCTTGATGTAGTGAGTAATGAGTTGTCTGAATTGTGATCACTGTGTGTGATTTAGAGCAAAGGACTGTGATCAAGAGTGAGTGAAGGCACAAGTGAAATTGCTCTCTGGGCAAAAAGTAGAGCCTAAAGCCACTGCAATGCTTTCTATTGCTTGGGATGTCCAAGCAGAAAACTTCTTTTTCATACACTTTTCCTGGTTGTTTAAGCTGAAGTAATTTTTGTCCCCTCAAAGTAAAAACTTCTATAGAGATTGGTTTGAAGTGGGGAAATAGAGGGTTACTTGTTGTTTTCCTGTTCCTTGTTTATCAAATTAATTAGAGATTGCTTCATCTTTAATTAAAATGACATGGAGGAGAATTCAAATAAAAACAATAGCAATCTCAACACATGAGCACTCCTGAGATTTGCAGGCAGTCAAGCCAGGCAGCCCAGATTTCAGATGTTCTCTCTGCTATACCCCTGAAATCTCCTGGCTGCTCTTGGGAACCCTGCCTTGCTCACACAGACATTTGGCTGGGCAGGTAGAGCAGAGTCAATTAAATCTCCATCCCAGACTAGCAAAGCATTTAAAAGTCTGTGTTAGTCTTGTCCATTCAGTGCTGTGGCTGGCCAAGAGCCCCTCTGGAACTCTGATGGATATTGTTTCTCACAGGCATTACATGCTTTCCCTCAAACATCTGAATAGGCCATTGTTTTTTGCTTCTGGATGTCTCTTTGTGGACTGATACAAGAATAGCTAAAAGCTGAAGAACTGGCATTTTATATTTACAAAAATAATAATTCTGGGACTTCTACTCCTCTGAGAAGTTGAATGTGCTGCCAGTTCTCTGCTCAGATCCCACGTCTGATCCTCTGGAAGTCAGGGAGTTGCATCTGGAGCTTCAGATGAATCATCTCAAACTTAGTTTCAGGAACGAAGCCCTGTGAACCTGATGCCATTCCCAGAATCTAAATGCTTTTAGAATCTAAAGAACTGAGGTGAGATAAAGTATATAGGAGGTGTAGTTTGGTTGTGACCTGCAAGCCTTTGTATTAACAGACACAACTGCTTTATGTATATTTTTCATTACCACTATGTACCTTTTGAGTACTGAGGGCTCCTTATAAGAAAAAATGCACATCTCATGAGGAATATAACCTATGCTTCTGGTCACCTCAGAAACCTCATGTGTAAAGAAATCCTCATTTGTTTTCAAGTGAACTTCTCTTGTACAGGTCCCCCAGCCCCTCTAAGCCAGTGACTGATGATCTGTCCAGCTCATCTGGATTTACTTCTTTTTCCTAACAAAACTCTGTTCCCCAGGGTTTCAGGCCCTATCAGCATAGCCATTGCAGATTAATTTATTCCTTATCAGTGGCTGTGAGCTACAAGGATGCTTGTTTTAATGCAGCCAGTTCGCCTCCTCTTACCCACCTTTGCCTCTTTTGCTCAATTTCCCTATCACATACAAGATAAACTAAAAAAGACTCACCCCAATCAGTTCCCTAAGAAATACAGATATCTTTGGTGCTTTAGCACTGTACCACCAGTTGCTTTGGTAGATCCTCATGGTTCACATGGCTGTAACGTGGGAGGTGTTTCATCCCAGCATGCTGGGAGGAGGATGTGCATATTCCACACGTGTGGCTGTGCAGGGCAGGTGTAGGAGGGAGCAGGAGCTGATCCCAAGGCGCAGCTTTGGAGGTGGAACCCTTGCATTTGCCACAGGCAATGGATTTACAATAACCTGTGTGTGTCACATTGTCCCCATCAGCTCTAGCTGATGACAGGGGCAGCTTTGGCCTTAGAGCACCTGTGCTTCCTTCCTCCCCACATCCTTATCAAAAGCAATGTTTCCTTTGGCCTAACACGTTCAGTGTTTGGTGTTAATTAAGAGCTTAAGTGCCAGAAATGCAGGGGAATTCACCATTTTCCATATTGATCCAGCAATTCTAGAAACAGGAGGCCTGAGGAAGAACTGGGATAACTGAGTTAACTGCTTTAGCAATAGCAAATGATTCAGATCCAAGGTTGATGTGAATCACTCATGGATCTGCTCAGTTTAACCAAATCAGGCATGTTTTACTGCTGCTGTTTTTGACTTTCAAAACCTCAGGGAGTCCCAGGCAAAGTGCCAGAGCAGGGTCACCTTATCCCTGTCACTAATCCTGTCGCTTCCTTTCACGCTCCTTCACACTCTGCAAATTGTTTGATGCCTTTTACTGTACCTCTGTGAAACCTTCCTGCTGGATTGTATGGGTGGAGGATTAGGTAAATCATAGAATCATAGCCAAAGATTGTACTATATGTAAGTAGAATCTCTTTCAGAGCATGCCTGATAATGCTATGTTTGAAAATCAATTTTTTTTTTTTTTTAATAATACTCTCTTTTCCATCCTTTTTCAGGGGCCTCTTGGCTTGGATGGCAAACCAGTAAGTAGCACTAAGTGCCAAATATAACATGTCTTTGTTCATGCTGCTCCACAATAAATAGGCAGTATCTCAACTATTACTCATTTATTGCTACATATAGAACTGTTTAGGAGGGACGGTTGTACTTGGGAAAATTATTCCATGCAAGTTTGAATTCCAAGCCAGGGCTGGCCAGCAGAGCTGGAGGTGAACTTTTCTTTACCTGTCAGCTCATCTCAGCTGCTTCATCCTGTCCTGCACCAGCTGGGCCAGCACAGACTGCAGATAGGCATCAGGCCAAATTTGGGGAATAAACTCCAGTAGCACATTTGAAGAGCAAAGTGATTTTGGTTGTGTGCTTCTGGCACTACAGAGTGATACCATAAAAATAATTGATCCCAAAGGTGGGTTCCATTTTCCTCCAAAGAACCTGAGCTGGGAACTGCTTGAGGGTGCCCAGTGTCCATGAAATACTTTTTGGAACAGACTGGATTAATTTATGAGCTGTTTTCTTGACTTCATTTTTGCTTGGAAGCCCTTTGGATATTCAGGTGCTTCATTCTTTTCTTACTTATTTTACAGAAACACAGACTTTTTTATTTTTATACTAATTGAGCTCTAGCCAGCTCTGATTCCTTCCACTGAATGGTTCCTACAGAAGGTCGTAGCTCTGTATTTTGTTTCCAAACCCCATTCTCTTCCACCACCTTCACTAGAGGGCCCCATATGAAATCTTTTTAAATTCTGGTCCTAAACCAAGTGGGATTTCAAAGTGGATAAAAGTAAATTCAGTCTTTGCAATTGAAAAGCTACTCCAGACACTTATTTCAATCCAGTTAGGGAGTGTGTTGTTATAGCTGTACATTGCTGTGGTTGGTTTTTATCCTAACCCTGAGGATAAAAAATGTGAATAAAATCTAGAAATAAAGCATTAGGCAAGAAAAGAAGGAAGGGCCAGCTCTCAGCCTGGTGCTCAGGACTTGGCTTTCAGTAGCAAAGCCTCATGCTGGGAGTGCAGTCAGACCCCAGAGCACAGCCCTGCACCCCCAGGCTGGGATGCCACTGCCAGGCAGGAGTGAGACCCCGAGTGAGAGGCAGGGGAAATCTCAGTGACAAAGCAAATTTATCACACATCCAGACTCAAAACAGACTGTTCATGATCTCTTCCATGACAGTAAGGGGCCAGCAGCCTTGCTTAGAGAAAAACTGTGGGAAGGAGGCTGCATGGGAATGCAGATGCTGCTGTCGCCGGCCTCTCTGCTGACCTTCCCCCACTGCATCCCACCGGGTCCCACCTGAGCACACACTGCACTGGTACCAAGATTTGGTACTTTTCTGTGCTGGAAGGAAATGCAGAGCAGACACATCAGAGTGTTGCTCTCGGGTTCTCTCTGGGGCTGCAGTGTCTCTGCCTGTCCTACAGGCAGCTGCTCAGAGGGAAGATGAATGATGCCTTCAGCAAATAGGCCAAAGAAAGCAGCCCGTCCTCCTTGTTTATTTCAAACAGATGTATAATTGTTGTAATGATATACTGAGCATGTGTTTTTTCTAGAAGTGATTTAGTACCTCAAGATATCTTTTTCATCTATTTAGAGTCATGTGTTGGCGAGCTGCTGTCACACTGCCTGCCCTGCTCTGGTCCTTCTCCATACTCTGTCCTGGCAGGAGCAGGCAGGACCTCGTGGGTGCTTTTTGGTAAAGTGTTGCTCATGTCAAGCACTGCACAACTTAAAATAGTGGCATGTATTCCTTAGAATTATAGAGAATGTGGCTCAGGTTTGTGAATTGATGAATGTGATTTCCTCGGTTTTAATGTCACATGCATTGGTGATTCTGCCGTTCCTTAACTTGGATTCTTCTTATGTGTTTCCAGGGACCTCCAGGACCAAAAGGGGAAAAGGTAAAGAGTGCATTAACATGTGGATTTTGTGGGAGCAGCTCCTGATTATCCTCCTGCTGCTGTAATTCTTTCAAGTTCAGGTTGTCCCAATAATTCAGCTGGGTTTTGTTGGGATGTGACAGTGGGTTCTCACATTGCTCTTGGAAAAGCTCCAGGAGGGCAGGAAGAGTTTGCAGAAAAGTGGGGGAACAAGTGTGGTCTTAAAGCTCACCCATGCTACAGGGTTCTGGTAAGCCACTGTGGGTGATGAGAGTGGCATAAAACTCTATTCATTCTTCCGAGAGATCTGGGCTCCATCGCTCTGTTTGCATGACACCCGTGCAATCAGAGGAGCCAAAGAAGGTCATTACTGAAAGTGAAGTTAATTTTCACATGTGAAGGACATAAGCAGTTGCTAGGAGAGCCTTAGAGTTGGAAACAAACTGCTATTTCTGATTTATTATCTGTTTCATTGCCTGCCAGGGCAGAATCTTTCCCTATTGTGTTGTCTCAAAACCTTCTCCTCCCTCATTTTAAATACATTAAGCAACAGGACTCTTGCCACTTCCCTTGTGTGCTGTACTCGTGTCCAGCTGACCCTGTGCTCAGTCCTTCAGGGTTGAGATTTGAACTCTGACCCTTTGCTGTTTTTCCTGATTTGCAGGGGGAAGCAGGAGACATTGGCCCAAGGGTAAGTAGTGACACTGCACATTGATTTATTCCAAAATCTGATTTAGTCACTGCACAAAACAAAGCTTTGTGCAGCCTTGCTGCAAACCGTATGGTAACAGTTGTGGAAACATTTCATTTTGCCTCTGGAGCTGTTTGTGGTGGTGGTTTTCCTAACTCTGGCCATGAGTAAAAAAAGAGTTGAAGATCTTTGGGTACCTCATGAAGGGTTTTGCTTCTACTGAGTTTTCTCATCCCTGATTTCCTCTTCCAGTGTCAGAGACAGACTCGGTGTTTCTCTTGAAGTTTCCTCTGAGGCCGTACTCCTTCTTTGTTGGCATTAGAGCACCAGTATGTGGGGGTAGGATCTGGTGTCCCAAGGAGAGGTCCAGCACAGAGTTGTGCAGGATGGAACATTCCTCCTCTCTTGCTGAGCTCCCCACCTGGTAGCAGGATGACATCCAGGTGACATCCAGGCTGCCTTTGAAAATAAAGGGTTTAGAGTAACTGTATGATGAGGGAAAACTCTTTTAGCTATAGCATACAAAAATTATTGGAATTTCATGAAATATCTTCTCATGGAGCTGCATGAAGTTGAAATTTACTAAAGGAAATGAGGACAGGTCTCCATGAGACACAAGGGGGATGTGGCCCATGTTGGGGATAAGATGGGAGGTTTCACCACAAGGTGAAGAGGTATTTCTGAGGTATGGTTGTCTACGGGTTATGGGCATCTGCTGGAAACCCCATTGTGTGGATGTCTTGGAATCCTGGTGTACCAGTCACTGTAGGAGACGCAATTTGGAGCTGGCACTCAAGAGTTGGCTGACCTGGGTTAGATGTCACTGCTGCAAACATAACCAGGATCTCAGTGGTTAATGTTGAGTGGAGATGCCTTAGAGACATTTTTCTTCTTTCCCCTGGAGGTTGTAAAATCACTTTATGAAGTTAGTGTCATATTCTGAAGCAGCTCCTCACTGTCTTGGATGTGTTTGGAAATGTCACCCTGGGGCTCAGAGAGCCCCTAAAATTTCTCAGATAGATTTACAGCCTGTGTGGTGAAGGAGGGGCTCAGTGTAAGGTCTCACTTTGTCTAAGTGCCCACCCACGTTCTCAGAACAGGCTTTAAGAGGTGATTCAGTAGCACAGGGACATGAGTTTTCACTTCTTGGCCAGGGCTGTGGGTGACTTTGGGGCTGGCAACTCAGGAATTCCGGAGGAGGTGCTGCTCAGGCTCCAAAGGCTCTGTGCTGCCAGGTGCTGTGGAACTCACCTCCTGCTACAGGAGATGCTCTGGGACAGGTTCTATCTGGACTTGCAGGGCAGGTACCAGCTCTCAAGGTAACACTTGTCCTTTGTTTTCATCTACTAAGAAAAATTTGCTGGGTTTCGGGGGCATATTTTTGCATTTCCTGATCTACATTTGTCCAGATTTTGCTTCAGGTTTTTATTTATTTATGACTTTTTGCAGAACAGTGAGAAAAAGGCTCAAAAACAATTTGGGAGAAAGAGGGAGAGAAAAGCCTAGCAGAACATGTACAAGTAGACCTAAAAACAGGTGCCTGACTTTGAAAATAGCTCCCTTTATGTCTCCAGACACTCAGGGTTGTGAACAGGAGGCAAAACTTGTTAATACCATCTGGTCTAGATTACTTTTTGTTTCTGAATTTAATCTATCTTATTCCTCAAGTTTCAGTTGTTGCTTTGTTCAGCTGATTTTGAAAGATGTGTCAATGCAGTTCACTCCATCAATGGGAAGATAAATAACTAGGACTATATCCAGTGCCCTCTTCCTTGTAAATGGTCACGTCCATGGGTGGTGGAATGAGGCTGGAGTGTGTGAGTGAACACTGAAACACTACCATTAGGAATGATGGATTAAAAGAGAATAATCCTTGGGGTGGCATTGGAGGGACTGTCTGTGGTGGGAGTGAGGTGATGGCAATTAGGGATTAGCTACCAAAGATGTTCATGTCTGCATTGCTTCTCTTCCTGTAGTAAACACCTGCCACCAGGGTGGACAAACACAGAGATTATTACACATGGGAGTGTTCCTGGTGGCAGATGCTGGAGGGTGATTTTGGACAGCTGAGGAAGGAGATCACCTTAGGTTGTCTTCATCACTGAATGCTCCTTGTTGTAAGCAGCATGAGGGAGGATGCTGTATAGCTTCACCTGCTCAGGATGGGGAATAAATGTGCCCAAATGTACTGATAGAATGCATGGAAGTGTATTTATAGGGAGAAATCAAAAGCAGGTCCCCTCTGCTCTTGGGAAGATAGAGGGAGTTGAAGCGGGATGCTGCTAAGGTTGGGACAGATGTGCCCTGATATTTGTGCCTGTGCTTCTCTCTCAGTCAAATACATTGCTGCACCCCTGGAAAGGATTTATAAGCCTGACTTGCTCCCTGAGCTGGCACTGGGCCAACTGCTCTGGATTTATGAACTTAGCTGGGTGATCTTGTTCGTACTGACAGATGAGATGTTTAGACAAATGATGGGGTTGAGGAATCTCTGCACATCTGGGCCGGTGGATGCAGAGCGCCTGTGGCAGCAGCAGCACCAGCTTTGCTCTCCAGAGGGAGAAAATGAGCTTCAGCTGGTGAGAGAAATGCTCTGTCTGCAGTGGCCCACATGGCACACGCCTGCCCATGGCCAGTGCTGATGGAGATGGCTCCAGCATCTCCTGGATCCGGAGCTGCTGGGGGCCAAACACTGCCGTGGCTGAACCAGTTCTGCAGTGCAGACACCAAAGGAGCTTTTCCTCCCTTGTTTTCTGCAAAATTGTAACTGCTTGCCAAGCTCACACTGCAGATAAAAACTCAGCACAGGAAGCATCCTGCAGAGCTCTCTGTGGCAGTCAACAGACACCTATGAATACCTTTATTTTATTATTTGCTTACTTTGAAGTGTTATGTTGAAATGGCTACATCGAGGACTCTAAAGCTGGAAATTAGCAGTGTTCCAGGTTTCTGTGCTCCAATATTCCAGTGCTACACAGGGTCAGACCCAACAGCCTGTTAGCCCTGTGCCTTGAAACCAGATGCTTTGGGCATTGTGGAGCAGGAATATCTTATTCCATCACACTTAACCCCTCTCCTAGAGCCTGGCTCTCTACAGCCTGGATGTCTCTTGAACCAGGGATGGTGTCTCTCTATTTAATATCCCTCAGGGCTGTTCACCTCTCATGGGCCCATCTGTAACAGGGGCTGTTTAAAATTAAATGTGTGATGGCTGGATTTGGTGGGATATGGTGTGTTTGGCCTTGGAGCAAATGCAAATTGTTATTTTCCATTAAAACAGATAGGGCTGGGCTTGGAACGTGCATATTTGGATGATGTTCACCAGTCTGAGAGACAAGAAAAAAAATTCAGTTCCTGTTTTGCTCTGTGGGCTTTTATGAAAATCCCACTTTATGCTCTTGTGTACTTTATGCACATAATGAACCACAGAACTGTGTCCCTTCTGTCTACCACAAAACCCTTTGTTCTCAGTAGAGTCTTTTTGGTGGTTTCTGTAGTATTTGGAGGACCTGGCCACGTGTAAGGGTTCTGTGTTGTCATTAATTTCAATTTCTCAGTATTTCAGTGCTCTTCTTCCCAAAAGTAACTGTGTTTAAGTGAGTTTTGAGCTTAAAGCCCCTCTCTACATCTTGAAAAAAATTCTTAGTAGGGGCTTCTTTTCTGGGGTTGATTTTTTTTTTCTATCTGACTACTTTTCTCCTGCCTTCTTGACATGATGGTGTTTAAAACGTCTGCACTGGGAGGCTGAGCAGGAGGTGGCCTTGCCCAGTTCACTATTCTCCCCAAAACTGGGGTTTGGGGTTATCTGTTATTGGTGTACAAGGTTTAAAAGCTCTTTGGCAATTTTGAAAAGAGGTTTGTTTCCCAGAACCCTCCAAAAATCCTCATGGAGGCTTTGCTGTGTGCTCCCACGGGGCTTCTTGTGGCTTCACTCCACCCTCTTGATTCTCCTATGGATGTGTACAGGGATGGGTGGATGGGGGAAAGGGGAGATGCACGTGGTGTCCTGAGAAAGGAAATGTCTTACTGCTTCTCCCTAGATAGATGAGTGGAAAGGCTAAAACACAATAGCAATGACTACTGACACGGTCTAAATACATTGTTTTTGCATCATATAAATCTGGGAGATTTATCTGCAATTTGCAGGCTGGGAATACATCAATATTCATTTGAGCCTCTGAAAACAAATACAATATTAGGTCTCAGGGAAATGCTGGGATATATCATCCCCTATGGGGTTTACTGGAATAATACTCTTTATTCTGCAGTAGGGGAATCCTTGTCCCAGCTGCTTTGAATGTCCTATTGTGCAGTAAACTAGTAAAAAAATACTTGTTTCCCTCAGTCTGTGTCCTGTTACAAAGATCCAGAGTACCCAGAACATTAAATCCCAGTGTTGGCTACCTAGGCTATTACTTTCAAATGTATCAACTAGTTATTAAAAAAAAAAAAAAAATTATTATATATTGCTGCAGCCTTTAAAACTCACTCTTCTGCTGTGTTTTCCTCTTAAACTGCTGCTCTTTCTTCTTCTGCTTCCCACTTTCCCTGGATGTAGATGGTTTTTCCCCACCTCAATCATGGATTTCTGGCTAATGATCAGCTTGTCTTTAGCCGGCGAGTGCTCAAGGTAGACACCAAATCTGCTGCCATTGGTTTGCTGTGGTTGTTGGAGCTGCATTTGCTTTTTTCTTGACTGACAATGCACTGCTGCTATTTTAAATTGCCACGACCATGGCTGTGTTTAGAGATGCTTGTTGGGAGCATGTTTGGCTGAAGTCCCATTGGAATTTAGGGAGCAGGCATTGTCAAAGTAGAGGAACATAAAACTGATGGGTTTTAGCATTTGGTTCTTTGTGAGATTTGGGAATCAAGCAGCAAAGTCCTATAAATTTGATATAAGCACTGTTGGTATTGTAAAATAAAAATGCATTAAAAGTAATCTAAATCCTTGAACTCTAAATGGGACATTGTAATTAGGAAAAATTCATTGGGAGACTCGACATAATTGGTTGCAGTGTTCAGCATTTGCAATTGGGTTTTTTAAAAAAGGATGCGAGTGATTTAGGAGCCCAGATCTTGTTGAAAGGCCATGGGACTTGTGCTGCTAAGTCACTTAAGGACTTCTGAAAAATCCCACACTTGTCCCTGATTTGAGGGTGGACCACATATTAAACACAGCCCTCTGACTGCCTCGCTGCTGTCTCTCCCAGATGTTGCTAAAAGATTTACGAGGCTGCCTTTCCATGAGGTTTTCCCATTGTGCAGCCTCATGGATGGGCTGGGCCACGGCCCCAGGGCTGGGCTGTGCTGGCTGGTGGGGGACCAGGAGCTGATTCCCAGGCTGGAGCCCCACGGGGTGCTCCCCTTGGGAATGGCACCCACCAAACCCGCACAGCCACAGGGACACAGCGTGTTCTCTGCACCCAAAACCCGCAGGTGTGAGCGGCTCGGGATGTTCACGTGTGACCTTGGCTGGCTGTAAAGGATGAGATCAAGCACTGGCACTTCTTTTGTGTGGTTTTGTGGTGTGGTGCACCGAGCCATGGCAGTGTGTGCATGCTTCCTGCCAGCATGTTGTGAGCCTGGGTTGCTCTGGGTGCTGTTGGGTCAGTAGATTCCATGCAGATAGTCACTGGGTAAGGGCTTAGGCAGATTAAATCTCATTGGGAGGCATTGAGTACAATCCTGCTTGAGGAACCGGACCCAAATGGCATAAAAGTGAGTTCACTTTCAGCTTTCCCAACTGGAAGCTGCAGTTAAATTCCTCTGGGATAGCAGAGGGCATGGTACTGGCCCAGGGATGCAGTGCATGTGTTGTGGACACCCTGAGACCACCCCTTGCCAACACTGCTTCATCTCACCATGTCTGTGTGAACTTCTTCCAGGGTGATCAAGGTCGAGATGGAGCCACGGGCCCCCCTGGTCCGCCAGGACCCCCAGGTGCCCGGGGGCCTCCTGGGGACACGGGAAAGGATGGCCCACGAGGACCTCCAGGCCCCCCTGTAAGGACGGGAGATGCGCAGCAAGCACATACCAGGCAGTTCCCACCCCACGAGGGACAGGAGGGTGAAGGGTGTCCCCTTCCCCAGTGCTGCCACCACAACCACTGAGACCTCAGCCTGAGCCACAGCTGGGCTCCAAAGGTGGCTCACAGAGCCAAGCCTTGGGGTGTGGGGCAAGGGAGCAGGAGGGGACCTTCCATCTCAAGTTTTGGAGCAAAGAGCTGGACCTGGGGCATGTATTTGCAGGTGCTGGTGCTGTCACAGAGCCAGGAGATCTCTTCCCCAATCCATACCCTTTTCAAATCTGAAATTGATACCTGTTGCAAATCTGAAGACCACTGGCAATACATTTAATAAAAAAATGGGCTAAAACATAACACAGTGAAACACTCTAATTATTGCTGAGAATTATTTTGGAGAATGGGAGGTAATAGTTTCAATGTTGGTCTTTTTATTTTTTGCAGGGTTTCAAAGGCGAGCCGGGAGAGGATGGAGTGATGGTCAGTAATGCCCAGAAGCATCTGTGTGTGTGCCCCTCACCCCCATTGTACATCACCCTTCAGCTCACTGCAGCAAGTGGGTTTGTGTCATTGCTTATGGAGGACAAAAAAAACCCCCATGGAATTACAGATGTTTGTCCAGGGGACAAAATACTCTGGTTTTTGTGTCCCCTTGGCTCTTTTGGAGGGATGTAGTGCTCCTGTATCCTTACACCTGACCCTCTGAAGCCACCTGGCATTGTAACTCCAAATTGCTGAGGTTTATGTTGGATAAAAAAGTGCTGAACCATGAAAGGATATTATTTACTGGGAGCACAGAGAACAAATACAGCTCTATTTGTATGGGAAGATGAGAATTTGACATCTGTGTCATTTTTTTTTTTTTCTTGGAATTAAAATACTCTTAGAAATGCTTTTATCCCATTTTTCTCTGTTGTCAAACAAGTAAACTAATCACTCTCATATTCAACAGGGTGCCAGAGGACCTCCAGGATCAAAGGTGGGTAATAATCTGCCTAACTTTAACGTGAATTCTTGAAATAATGCTGCATAAGAGGGGGTGGGGATGAAAATAAGCATTTTGCAGTGGACTTGAACTCATCAGTATATATCAGATACAAAATTCCAAGGCATTGACAGGGGGTGTAAATGTCTGAGTGTGTCACTTCCTCAATATCACATCCACTGCCCATGCTCAAACCTGGAAATGGGGATGGAGGGAGCCACAGGGGGCTGGAATCTGCTGTGCTGTGGGAACATGCTTTCTTGCATTTGGGGAGGATAAATATGATCAGCAGAAGCCAAGTATTTTAATTTTACAATTAATTTTGATTATCCAAGTAATTTTTTTCTGTTATGTATTTTTTTCTGTAATTTTTTTCTGTTATGGCCCTAAATTTCTTTCTCTTCTGTTGATGTTGCTGAAGGGTGAACCTGGTGTCCAAGGGAAAAAGGTAACATGGTGTTTTTTGGGTTTTTTGTAATTATTAGTTTTTGTTCTTTTTTCTTTGCTTTGCTCTCTGCTTGGCTAGGGAAACAACTGCAAGAGATTGATTTAGAAGCCATGTCTTTCCCTGTGTTCCCTCGGTTTCCCTCCCACACGATCCTGGAGCTGGGCATGGCTGTGCCTGCAGCCTGGCTTTCATTTCCACAAGCAAGCCAGAAGCTGCAGCCACATCTGCCCAATAGACAAAGAATGAAACAGCAAATGCCAAGCAAAGCAGTAGGTCTTGGGTCCTTTCTCTCCAGTAATTCAATGAACCAAGAGGTGCCTGGAGGATGTTCTCTGCCCAGGGGCCCTGGGATGGGTTTGGAATTCCTGGGATGGCCATCACCATGCAGCACTGCAGTCCTATGGGAAATGTCCACTTGAGGGCCAGGAATGCTGCTTGGGTGTGGCATTGATGATTGTGAGAGATTCACATGTCCAGGCTCTCAGTTCTCTCCCTGTGGTGCCATCAAGAAGTGGATAAATCACTGCCTTTAGGTGAAATCAAAGCACTGACAGGGCCCACCCTTTCCTGCTTACTGATTTGGCCCAAAACAGGGGTGGCCATGGGTGTTCTGCAGGCCAGAATTTGGCTTAAATATTTCATAACTGGTTGGTAAAACTAATCTCTTCAGTACCCATGAAGTGGTGTCACTCCAGGAGAACAACAAAGCACAAGCAAAACCAGAAAACCTCCTGTCAGAGGGTATTGGTGACTTGTGATGAAGTCCATCAGGATGGGTGGCAGCTTACAGGAGGTCTTTGGGACACAAAAGGCCTTAGGGAATTTAATATTTAATTTCTGTTCAAGGTGGAAGAAGACCTTGCCAGGGTCTGCTGTAAGCAAATTCTGGAAGATGCCTGTCCACCTTCCCAGGAGCAGGGGAGGCAGAGGCAGGGCTGGGTGGGAAGAGGGGACCATGCTGGAGCGTCCTGTGCTCCTTGCTGCAACTCTCCCCTGGTTGCCTTCAAACCTGAGTGGGTTTCAGGTCTGTGTGACACTCAGAGGTCAAATGATGTGTTGGAACCATTGGTTCCAAATGATATGTTGGTACCATACTACTAAGTATGTACAAGGTCTGTGTATTTCACTTTTTATATTTTATTCCATCAGGGTGATGATGGGATCCCTGGGGAACCAGGACTTGTGGGCCCTAAGGTATGTCCTGCTCTGTGTCCATCTAATGCATGTGTTGGGCACATCTGCTGCTGTCTGGTTTTTGGCACCATATCACAGGAGGGGCAGGATGAGAAACATTTCTCCTCTGGTGTGGAAAAAGATCAAGAAACTGTGAGGGTGGTGAGGCCCTGGCACAGGGTGCCCAGAGAAGCTGTGGCTGCCCCATCCCTGGAAATGTCCAAGGTCAGGCTGGACAGGGCTTGGAGCAACCTGGGGGAGTGGAAGGTGTCCCTGCCCATGGCAGGGATTGGTACTGGGTGATCTTCAAGACCCCTTACAACGCAAAACATTGTGAATTTATTGTTCTATGCTGTGGTTTTGGGGCCATCTTCATGGCTGAACACACCACCCACAGCCAAACTGCTGAATCTGAAAGCTTCATTTTTATCTCAAAACCTCCCTGGTTGCACCTGGGCAAGGTGATGTGTTTTACAGCTGAAAGCAGAGCTCTGCTCCCTTGTGTATGTAAAATGAAGCTAAATCAAGAAAATGATAACCTGAAGAAATCTTTTCTCCATCCTCCCTGTATAGTATTTGTTGAAATGGGTTTGTTTTCAGGGAGAAAAAGGAAGCGTGGGTCCCAAGGGAGAGAACGGCACAGATGGCTTCCCAGGACTAAAGGTGAGGAAAAGCTGGAACTCTGGGCACAGCACTGCTGGTGCAGAGGCTTCCAACTGAGGAGGTGTTTTGGGCCTTTGCCTTCTAAAACCTCATAAAGTGCCAAAACTGACACAAAAGGAGTGATAGGAAGAGTGTTTTAACTTTTCCTGGTGATTTGATGAAAGCTGGGTTCAAGCAGAGATCAGTATAAGAGTTCATAAGTCATCTACTTGCACATATTCCACTAAATTGCCTTTTTTCCTCAAAAAAGGGAGAATTCTGATCACATTTTGATCCCATGTTATTGATGGCTGTGGAATTGCTTCAGAGCCCCAAGCACTTGTGAGCTGTCCTGTCCTCCTGATCTCCAAAAGAGATACAGTTAGTTTGGGTTTGTTAAGTGGTGGTGAGGAGACCTGGACAGCATCCATGGGCTGGCATTTACCCCCTCAGCTGCTTTGTATTCAGCAGGATCTGGATGCACTGATATTTCCTATACCAAAGAGTCGTGATTCCTTATTGGTCAAGAAAGTGTGTGTGAGGAAGAAAGTGGTGATATTTAGTAAACATTTTCTAGAACCATAGGAGCAGTGCTGATCGAATTTAGGTTTTTTCTATTTATTTTTACAATTTTTTACTTTTTGGAGATCTTTAATTTGCTCAGCAAGGGGATTAATATGGGTGTGGCAAATGGGACATCTTCTTAATCCTGAACAGAATTTCAGATCTTTGCTGTAGGAGTACTCTGACTTTTTAGGGGAAAATAAAAAAGACAAAGAAAGAAAGAACAATTTGGCACAGACCTTTTCCTTAAACTCACCCTTGAAAATGGTTTAAACATCTCGGCTGAAACTTTCCACATGTAAAACTCAGCCTGAAGCAAAGGGAGCCATGTGGAACCAGCACAAAGAGGTGGAGCTCAGCACACTTGGAGCAGGGAGAGGAGCTGGAGAGCAGCACAGCCCATACAGGGAGCTCAGCCCTGAGCTGGCCACTCCATTCCCCCTGCAATGCAACCTCCTCTTACTTCCCTTGTTGTTACACCAACATTGTTTTTTGAAAAATATATTCACTCTCAAGTCAAATTTATTTTCTGCTAGGAGAAGCAGTCCCTTGTAGGTGTCATAATTTTTCTGAATCTAAAGCATATCTTTATGGCTGGGTACAGTACTTTTAGGACAAATATTTTATTTTTTTCTTGGTCTCCTTGAAATAAATGTGATTTTTGATTTTCAGGGTGAACCTGGTGAGAAGGGAGGAATTGGCTCCATTGGACCCCGGGTATGCATGCTCAGGATTTCAATTTAGAGCTGTGTATTTGTCTCAACCTTAGCTGTTCCCACCAACTCTTTCTGCTTAGTATGTGGATGAATTGCTTCAGGATGAGTTCAGTGTCAGAAAATAGGGATGGTGCATATTTAAACAAGTGATTGCACAGGTACTGAATGCTGACATGGGAAATCAGTCAAGTCCAGTTTTCTTATCCTCGTGACCATCCTCTGACCCTTTTTTCTGCAAGAGGGAAGCCAGGAATAGGGGTGAGGATAAAAATCCAGTGAGGATTTTTATGCACTCCTCCATTACACAAATTGATGGCCTTTTGAGGTTTGGCAGTTCCAGCTGTCAGACTAAGCACTGGTTAAATCCATGGTGTTTGTAAGGTGATAACCCCCAAACGCTGCGTGTCAGGTCTTTGCTTTCATACCAGCCACCTCTCAGAGCTGTAACATTAAGCAGGATTCATCCCTGCCTGCAGGGTCCCCCTGGGCTGAAAGGGGAGCAGGGAGACACCGTCGTCATCGACTACGACGGCCGAGTCCAGGATGCACTCAAGGTAAGCCCTGCGCCAAGCTGGGTCCTGCTCTTCGTGGGAAAGGACTGAAATCTGCCAAGCTCTGCCACAGTGACATTGTGGCAATGTGTCCACCCTTGTCCTGTGTCTCCTCCTGAGATTTCTGTCTTGGCACAGAGCTGGTTGGGAGGGAAGAAAGAGCTGATTGAAGCTGGGGGCTGAGGATATTTAGGGTGTAGCAGCAAAAGTGTTGGTGGAGCTCAATGGCAGCAGTTGGGGTGTGGGAGGAGGGGGAACGACACCCGAGCCTTAACCTGCCCCACTGAACAGTGCCCTGACCTTTTCATTAGGATGAAATAAGCTGAATAAATACTTGATTACAGACATATTTCAGAACCATCCTAATTGTTTTATAACAGGCTGCAGGGATACACAAAGTGCTGGTAATTTCTGTTTGCCAGGTGTCTGCGTGGCACACAGCTTTGAGAGGGGAGTTTGTGGAGTGCAGTGGTTGGAGAAGCTCCATCAAATGTCTGGAGGCTTCATGTGCTGGACCCAGACCCTGTCTCATGCTCTGCATGCAGAGACTGCTGAGGGGCACATTGCTGAGCCCTATCTTTGCTGTTCACTAACTTTGCTGTTTTCTTGCTTATTTGCTGTTTGCAGTGTTTGTGCACTGGCCTGTCTGATGGACAAGGCTCTGGAAAGGCTTCCAGTGTGACTAAGTGTAACAGCATTTGAGTGTGCAGCCATATCCATGCAGCATATCCATGGAGAATATGCTCCATGGATATAATACTGGTTTGGCTTTCATCTGAGTGAGACTACAAATTTTGCTGCTTGAAATAATTTGCAAGTTGGAAAATATTTGTTCATCTCAAGGTGGTTTGTGGTCTTTGCGTTCAGCAGTGCCCAGGAAAAATAACTTCCTTAAGTGTGCAAGGTTTTCCTGCTGTTTGTGTTCACACAAACTCCTTTTTCCCCATCTTTAATTGCACTTCCCTGGCTGGCTGACACTGTTTTCAGCACGATGCTGCTTCCAGGATTGGCTGGCTGGAGCAGGCAGGATGCAAAAAGAGACCATCAGATTTTGGGTCCTGCCTCCAGCTAAAGGCATTTTGCCTCTTAACCCATGTCTTTGCAGCTGTATGCCTGCCTTGCTCCTGTTGTGTTCTGTTCTGCATGAAGAGCCCCAGTCACTCTGTCAGTTCAGCTCCCCTCGGTGCCCAGGCAGTTCTGCTCACCTGAGTGTCTCTGGCAGATCCTGGCTGGGAGCTGCTGATCCCCACAGCACAAGGACAGCGTGGTGTGTTCATGTTAGTCATGATAAGCCTGTTTTGTTTGCTGTGTTTCAGGGTCCACCAGGTCCCCCAGGGCCACCAGGCCCCCAAGGCACTCCAGGTCCCAAGGTGAGCCTGACCTCTGCCAAGCAACATGGTTGTTAGTAGCTCTCCATGAGGAGTCTCCCAAGCCAAAATAAGGCAGTTGAAGCAGCCTGCAGAGTTTGAGGCTGTGTGTACTATTTAGCCCATTCTCTGGCTGAAAGAAAGGTGGCTTTCACACAAAAGCCAGGATTTTGTTGACCTGTCTCTGGCCTTCAGCCTCTTCCAGAGGATGCTGTCCCCCAAACCAGCCCAGTCCCAGTCCCACACCTGACAGGTGACATCCCAGCCCCTCTAGTAGGAGAAGCAGTTGTGAGAGGGGCTGGCAGCCCCATGGCTGTGCTGAGCCACCTCCCTGTGTGTGTTCACTGTCCCAGCACTGTGTCCCAGGAGCTGCTGTCCTCCTGCTTCACAAGCAGTAGTCTGTAACCTGCAGCCAGCTGTAGCCAGCTTAAAAAGAATGTAATTTGTAGACAAGAATCTCTTGAAAGAATGGGATAGGACAGGATTTTGGTGCCTTTTGAGGTCTCTGAGTCAATATTCAGATCAGCTGGTGATGCTGGTGCCTCAATGACGCCTCCTTGGTCCTGAGCCTGACAGTGGCAAATCCATAACAACAACAGTTGTGTGTGAATAACTCATTTCCTTGCACAATGCTTTCCCAAGATGAATTCTTAATTTAATTTACCACGGGTTCCCCTTTCTTTGTGTCCCTTCAGGGAGAGCTGGGCTTGCCAGGTCCACCTGGAATGGATGGTGAAAAGGTGAGTGAGGCACGGCTGGATTGAGCGAGACCTTGCCAGGAGCCAAATGAAAAGGAAGTTTCCTGTGTGTCTGTGAAAAGCAAATCCAGCCTGCCAGGAGTGAGCTGTGCTGTGCAGTATCAGCTGTGTCTCCCTGAATTGATGGCCCTTTGCCTGCAGCCCCTGCTCTGCTCTGAGCGTGCCGATGCTGCTCGTGGCCACGTCTGCCGAGCTAAAGGGGCTCCTTTCATGAGCAGTTCATCAGATGCTGTCTCAAATCTTTTTGTAAACCTTCCCAACCCTAAATGGCTGCAATTCCTCCTGCAGCCCAGCCAAATTCTGTTGCACCCTCAGAACTGGCATCTGTGAGGTTGAATGTTAAAACATTTTCTCATGAGCATGTGGAGGGAAACAGCAGAAAGGCAAAAGTGGCTGTTGGGGGGTTATTTTAAGAGTTTTCTCCTATACCTGTTGTTTTCTCTCAACTTGCAGGGTCCTAAAGGAGCAAAGGGTGACCAGGGCAGCATGGGGATCATGGGGCAAAAAGGAGAGACAGGAGAAATGGGCTCAGCAGGTCCCCCGGTACGTCCCTTTGTCTGTCCCTGTCCCTCTGCTCTTGGTTCTTTAATGCTCTCATTTCTGCAAATGCTCAGAATGGGGCTGGGTTGGCTGATTTAAGCAATGACCTCTCCACACCACCTTACTGTGGAGCTGGTGGATGTGGAAGCTTTGAATTTCCATTTCTAATCAGCTTATTCAGAATGTATCAAGGAGGAGAAAATACTTGTTCAAAGTCTCCTGGAGATGACCATGAGCTTTGCTTGAGCCAAGGCTTGTGTTTAGAGGGAGACAAAACTTATTTTTCTCTCATTTTTCCTTTCCTGGAAGATGCACCTTGTGAGTGACACATTTTTATCTTTCAGGGAGCAGAAGGGCCAAAAGGAGACAAGGGAGAAAAAGGAGACACTGGGTCACCCTGTCTGCAGAATAATCATGTAAGATCTTGGCAACATAAAGTCTCTTTCATGACACAGGATCAGGCAAAGTTGGGGTGCAGGATAAACCCACCAGTCCCATATCTATCAGCAAAACCCAACTGCTTTCTACAAGTGTCTAAATGGGGTTTATTCATTAGGGAAGACCAGTTCAGACACTCAGCACTACAAAGTTACTTTAGATTTTGTATTGGTGGTTGAGATATTGGATGCTGCTGTTGTAATTAATTATGTTAATTTTAATAATTAATTTAAATAATGATTTTGAGCTTTGTGAGGTTTCCACTCCTGAACCATCTTCTCTCTTGCCCAGCCTTGTTAACCTGCTGTTTAATTCTCTTCTGCAGATCATACCTGAGCCTGGACCCCCCGGATTACCTGGCCCTATGGTAGGACTCTGAAAGTGATTCCTGCAGATTTGTTATTGAATATGATAGATAAGGACAAGGGTGGTTTGTTCTGTTTAATCATTGTAGGCTGTTCTGAATCTGGGAAAAAAAAATCAGGGAAGTGCTACAGTCTGATTTGTCTTTGGAGAAATTAAAGCACCTGATTTAAGAGAGTACATCAGAGCTTATGGCTCATTTTGCAAAAATCCAAGTTGTTCATTGGGAGAAAAGATAAAGTCTTGTGGGATGGAAAATTCACCCAAGTCATTTAGTGCTCTGCCATCAGCTGCACTGGGAGAGGATGCAGGTGGTGATGAACACACAGAGCATTTTTGATGGAGATATCAAAGGGGTTTGGTGCCTACAGTGCTCCAAAAGGAGCTGTCAAGGACATTGGGAAGGCTTGGGTGTCTTGCTGGGTCCAAGATTCACCTTTAGAGACCATGCTTCAAAAGCAGGTGGCACTCAGAGCCTGGGAGTTATCCCAGCCCTGCCCAGGTGTGGAGGGCTGTGGTGGCACAATGCCACCCCCAGAGCTTCCTCTCACTTTCTTTAGCAAAGCATTTGGGGGCTTGTGTTGCAGAGCTTTATTGTCCTGTGTTACACAGAGTGCTCCTTTTCAGCTCCCCTGCCCTCTGATTTGATATTGGAGAAAAAAATAAACTGCCACCTGTCTTGAAAAGAAATATTTGACCATTTTCAGCCTGTAATTTGAGCAATAAATGGTTTGGGAAAGAAAGTTTGGAGTATGTTTTTAAATTTGGGGGGTTTTTTTCAAATGTAACACTGTCTTTCCCACAGGGTCCTCCAGGAATCCAGGGACCTAAAGTAAGTCAATAAATTGAATGTCACCCAGTTTCCCAGCTGCCAGTGCATTATTTACAGCCTCACAAAGGTCTGTCAGCTCTGAAGACTGAGTTTTTTGTCACTGTTGTCACAACATATCCCTTGGTTACACTGTTCAGCAGTTGGCATTTTGGAAAACAAGCCATTTTTCCTTCCAAGCATTTACAATCCAAACCCCTCCTCCAGGACAGAGTTCTGAGGGCTGGTGAGAGTCAGGGTTTCCAAACCAAAAGGCTTATAACCTGCATTTTCAGCTATTTTCTTATATGATGTGGTCAAGAGCAAGACATCAACAGCAGTGTGTGGGTGTAAGCACCCCAGAGCAGGGGTGGGAGCTGGTGGGTGCAGGAGGGGCTGCCCTGGCCAGAGCTGCCAGGTCTCCTTTGCTCATTTATTTCATTTCTGCAGGGTTTGGATGGTGCAAAGGGAGAAAAAGGTGACAGTGGTGAGAAGGGGGACCAAGGTGACACCGGACCTGCTGTGAGTTGTTTTCCCAAATCTCATTTCTGGCTGTTGACAGAAACCTGTCTCACAGGAAACAATCCTAATGCTTTGTTTCTTTTTAATTTAAGGGTCTCCCGGGTGCTCCAGGGCTCATTGGTTTACCTGGTACCAAAGGAGAAAAGGTAATCATGGGTGTGGGAGAGGAGCAGGGACATTTGGGTGCAATCCTAAAATAGGGGCTGTAAAATCCTGCTGTGGGGAGTCCAGCCAGAACTGCAGAGCTGGACCAGCACTACCCTGGTGCATGACACAGGAGCAGCCTCCAATCCCAGGGGCTCCTGGATGAGCCCATGCTCTCATTACCATGTTAAACCAACTGGATCTAAGTTTGTCTGCAACACCAAAATCAATACAGCACATCTTAATTTTTATTTTTACATCCACAGGGAAAGCCAGGGGAGCCAGGATTGGATGTGAGTATGGAAACCATGAATTATTCATGGTAGAAACACAAGTAACACACCCGTAACTTGAGATTGTTGGGAAAATATGTAGCTAACACTGTAGAGATTGCTCTCCCTTAAACACAATGCCCATGGAATGATGGCTGTAAGAAAGGGCTGAATTTAGCCCCACTGCTGGGCTACTTCCACTGCACAATGGAACTGCTCACTTAAAGGTGCTGCCAGTGCTTCCCTTTCCAGCTGAGAATCCTTGTATTGGATTCAGTGATGTGAACATTTCTAGTAGCTGTAATGTTACTGGGGTGTGGTGAAGTACTCCAGCTTTTCCAAGAAATTGCTGACATACCAAGTCAGCAGGAAGAAAATGTCATTCTTCACTGTGGCAAGACAGGCTGATGGCTGGAGTTGGCTCATGTTGAACTGAGCCATTCACACACTAAACTTACAAAATCTTTTTTGTTTTTCCTTTCTTCCATCTAAAAATTGTGGTGACAGGGTTTCCCTGGTCTCAGAGGAGAGAAAGGAGAGAGGAGTGAAAGAGGCGAGAAGGTGAGTGGGGTATGGCTGTCCTGATGCTCATGGCAGGACAGGCTGCTCTTTTTGGCAGGCAGTGCTGCTTGCCCTGGGAGCCACTGCTGAAAGGCCTTCTGTCAGCCCAAGGATTTGCACATTCCCAGCACAGGGCAGGACAGGCAGTTAATTCCTACCCACTTGGAAGGGTTTCTGCAAGCCTGCCCCTAGCCCAGCCACTGTGGGGAAATGGAGCAGCCTGACAGCTCCAGGTTGCAAAGAATCACTGGTCTTGGTATATAGACCTTGAAAATGGATCCAAATCAAAGGTTTTGTTACAGGGACCTTTAAACAAAGGGATACCCAGGTGGAGCCAGGAGCCCAACTGAGCACAGGGCAGTAGCTGGAAGCTGCTGCACCCACTTGCTGTCAGATACCAACCTGGGTTCCAGCAGAAACTGCTCATTTAGTCAATCTGTTATAAAATTATCTATTAGAATATTTCCACCCAGCTTTAACTGAAGATTTTCACAGAGATTTCACTACTCAGCTGGGGTCGTGTTAGTGTAAGTGTCCTTACTCTAGGTGGGGACTGGTACTCTGTGAGTGCTGTGAGACATGAAATACTTCTTCTCCTTGCTGATATCTTCCTGTTGTGCTGACAGGGTGAACGAGGAATACCAGGGAGAAAAGGGGCCAAAGGACAGAAGGGGGAGCCAGGCCCTCCTGGACTGGATCAGCCTTGTCCTGTGGTACGTCTTTCATTTCATTTCACTCACCCTAAGCACGGGCTGCCAGGGCTGAAAAGGAGACACAGCTTTGCAGGCACAGCTTTGCAGCCAGGGAAAAGCAGGGAGGATTTGGGAGTTCTCTCTTTTGCAGTAAATCAGAGCAGATGGTTATTGTTTTCTCACTTTTTGTAATGGTTTATCTGCACTGCTGGAAGTTCACTGCTTACTGTAAGGGCTCCTCACTGGCCAGATGGGAGCAAGCCACAGCAGTAAAAATAAAGCATCTTTGTGTAAAAACCTTCTTATTGTAGTGAGGAACAATGGACTTCAGTAGAGCTCTTCAGGAGATAGCATGATGCTTGCTTGTGAGCATATTTGAAATCAGGGAGCAACTGGGTGCAGGGGATGGGAGGAAATTTGAAAACAAGTCCAGCCCCATCCCTTCATCCCTGCAAACCAAGCGAGGGATGAGCAGGGGGAGCATGTTGGGGTTGATAGATCACAGTTCTGCCAAGACTAAGTGAAGTAGGAGCTGGAGCTCCCCAGGCTGCCAAGAAGTGCCCCTGGGAGAAGAGACCTCCCCTGGTTTCTGTGCTGGTGGCTCAGAGCTGTCCCTTCCCAGACACACCCCAGGCCACCGCCCTGCAGCACCTACCCACTGGGCTTTCCAGGAAACCTCCTGGGTGGAAGCTGCATCCCCCAAATCCTGTTCCAGAACCTCTCATTTGTTAGATAGAGCCCACAAAAAGAAAATATTCTAGAGTGGTTTATAAGCAGTTATTTGATGTGGTAAAATTTACCTTCTTTTCACTACTGTTTTTCATATAATGGCTAAAACTAGAGAGATCCTTTCACGGAAGTGCTTTGAAGCTGTGGGATGAGAAGTATCAAAGATTGAACTGAAACTGCTTAAATGTAGCAGTTTAGAACTTAGTTCAGAGGCACCTAATTAAGAGTGCCAGCTGCTTACTCCACAATTCTAAAACCCATTTGTTCTCTGAACGTGTGACGTTTCCTCCTTCTGGAAACTAGGGTCAGCTAGGGCTGCCAGAGCTGTTGTGCAGACCCACTATACCACCAGTAAGCTCCTTTAGTCAATATGCTTTATTTTGCCTGAAGATCAAATGTGAACTGCAATTTTTTCCCCTCTTGAAATGTTGGGTGATTTACCCTTTATCTCTTTAACTGCACTTTTACAAATGTGAATCTGTGGTTTGTGTACAGAAGATCTTTCCCAGATGACAGACTCTACATGTCATGTGAATTCCCTTCCATAAAACCACTCTGCTGACTCGCTGTGTCATCAGAAATGGAGCTGTGAATCTCCAGACCCATCCTCCTCCCCCTGTGCTGAACCATGGGTGTCTGTCTCTATAACTCCGTGTCCTTTATCGTTCTCAACAAGCAGTTATTTTTCCAAACAGGGAGATCATAGCATTGCAGGCAGCAAAAGGTACCCAGGTTTGCCAGGCCTGGATGGGGTGAGCCTGCCCTGCCCTTTGGTACAGTATCTGCTCTTTCTTGCATGGCTTGTGTGTGTTCCTGCTGTGGCTAAGCCCTGTCCTGAGGAGCAGACCCCTCCGGGGAAAGACACAAGGCAGCAGAGCTGGAACAAGATGTTTCACTTCAGCATTTGGGGAAGAATGCCAATGTGTTGTGCCTTCTTCCCAGTCAAAATTACTTTAGATAAGGAGTGTAAATCATAGGAGATCACACAGGGGATGCCAGTCCCTTTATGGTAACAGATGCTCAAAATTAGTTATGGTTTCTCTCAGTACCTATGGCCCAGTTCAGTTACCCTTGTGCCTGTGCTGCTGCAGCCCTGTGAGTCCCATTCCCAGCTGGGATTTGAAAAGCTTTCCTCAAAGAACAGCCAGTCCTGCAGAGCAGGACCACTGGCACTCTGTATCAGAAGGGTTTTGCTGTGTTAGCACAGAGTTCTGCCCAGAGCTTAGGCTGAGTCCAGTGGTTATGCAGGAAGGTTCGTGGTCTGCTCCCCAAAAGGGCTCTGCACCACTAGCTAAGAGAGGTCATTGTTTTATTTTCATTTTTTTTAACCATAGAAAATGCTGCCTGTTAGATGATTTGTTCTCAGAGAAACAAATGGGCAATAAGCTGTTACTCTTTCAAAAAGTTAAATTACTTTCAGATGTGTCCAAGAAACCAATTCCTAACAGCAGGCCTGCTCTAAGTTCATATTTACTTCCCAGAGATGTTCTATTTCCCAAGCATCTCCCATCTTAACTATACAGAAAACACAAGATCTGTCTCTGTTGAAGGCATTGTAAAGTGCAGTAGGTGATTCCTCCAATTAACTACAACATGACCAGTCAGTAAAGCACTTGTGCATCTTCCTGGTTAGCTGCAGGTTGGTTGGAATGTTGACTTTGTTCTGCAGCCCAGGGTGCAGTGGAGGCTTGTGGGCTTTCAGCCCAGGAGCATCAGCATGAGCCCCACACACAGCCATGAAGAGTCATTTTGGAGTCACTGAAGTGAAACATGGTAGAAAGGTGTGGAGTTTTATGATGGCCAAAATAAGTATTCTGAGTGCACAAGGAGAAATAGCCCAGGGCAGAAATCAACCCCCTGACCATCAGTATTAGGCTGCACTTTAACACAGGTCAGGACATTTTAGGTCAAACAACCACTCTGCACCTTGTCCCCTGTACCCATCACCCCCAGACAACTCTGGCAAATGTATGCATTTTACCTTTTTTTTAATAGTTATGAACCAAAATATTGACTGTGTCTGCAGAAAAAAAGTGTGTTTTCTAACTAAGGTTAAAGGAAAGCATGACTTCTTACACTGTGAGTAGCTGGAGAGGGTTACCTTACTTCACTGCATCTGTTTTATTGGGCATAGGCTATTTTACATATAAAATCAATACAGAATACAAAATATGTGATGACTAACATTTACAGTAAAAAATGTAAAATTGCATTTTGACCTGTATTTGCACTAGAAGTTCTCTCTGCTGCATCCACATCTTCCCACCCCTCATGAGTCTGGAGGTGGCTCTGAGGGAAGGGTCAGTGCTTGTGTGCTCTCTGTGGCTCTACATGCAGAAATTAATGTAATTGGAGATCCAAGAGCCTTAAAAAAATCCAGCATCAGGAAAGGCAGCTGAAGTCAGCTATTTCTTCTGAAGTGTCTTGAGATAGCTGGTCATACATAGCTCGTTCCTCTTCTAGGGGCTCCCTCCTTTCCAGTGTTCTCCTCCTGGTCAGTGAGAGCTCTTCTGGCTTTCTGATTTTTCTATGTTTCTTGTATCTCCAGTGGAACATGACAAATATTTTCACACCCTTAGCATTGTCCACAACTCATCCTATTCTTAGTTCAGCAACTCAAGATTTCTTAAAGAAACTAAGTACTGCAGGATCAAATTTAACACAATTAGGATACCATCTAGGAAAAAAATACCTATATCACCTCCCCCAACAGAAAAGCACATTTTAACAAAAAATACATTCCCACATCATGCTTTCCATATATATGTCTGATTGCAAAAAACACTACCTTATAAAGCAGATTATGAAGTTAATGAACTGTGATTTCAAATCTTTGTACATGTTTTCTTTGTTTAAAGGAAAAAAAGTGTAATTTCCAATTTTTTTCTTTTTTTTTTACCCTGAGGTGTATTTAATTTTGTGTTGTGCGTGACACATGGATGACATTGCCTGCATATTCATTTTTGTGCATATACAGTAAAGGGGTTTTGCATGGTAATTAACAGTGCTGCTAAGCCTTTCATTGTTGTGACAAATGAGCTTCAGGTTTTTGCATCTGACACTTAAGTCACTGTCAGGAAAGCTGAATCTGTAAATTCAATTTTGCAGGGACCAGACGGACTGCCAGTAGCAGGATGTTGGCATAAGGTACAGTAACCTTAATAATATCCTTGAACAGTCCTGAGTAATTTTGCTCCCTGCACGGTGATTGCACTGCTGCACATGCTTTAAGCAACAGCTGACAGGCCTGGCAGACATGACATTATGCCTTGGGAGAGCAGGATTCCAGCAGCTTCAGGTCTTGTTCCCCCCAGCTCTACACTGGTGCTGGGAACACCAAAAACTTTCTAAGCTTGACAAACCATTGTTAACACTGTCAGCAAAATGCTTTTTTACAGGCTTGTTCAGGCTTTTATTGTAGCCAAGGAAGCTTAGGAACCACCCATGGAAAGGCTGCACCATTTGCTAGTGGGACTTACTCAGTCTATACCCTCCCAGCTGAGAAGTTACCAGCGGGTTGTTTCTTTGTTACAGAGTTCCAAACATTTCTAACTCCTTTGCCACTGTAGTTATAACTCACAACCATTGCACCGCCTCAGTGCTCGGATCAGCACCCTGGGTGCAGGTGGCCAGGTAATTTGTAGCATCTCCTGCTGGTGGAGCAGCTGGCTGGAAGCGCTCCTGGCAGCCTGGGAGAATGAGGAGAGAGATGTGGCCTCCTGTAAGAGGAGGATTTGATCCAGACTTGTAGGAGAACCCTCATTCTCCAACAAGAGTATAACACTGAAGCTGAGTGGAATTACTAACCCAGCACATAGCTGGAGTTACCAGCATGTCACTCACTAACTGGTTGCAAACCCTCAGTTAGAATGCGAGCACACCCTTAGTGTATAAAAGATTTTCATTCTGTGAGATTTGTTTGGCTGTACCATTAATACTAAAATAAATCTGAATGCCAATCCTTACAGTATTAACAATAAGGTTAGTGTGTAATGAATGGAGCATTTCTCTGATTAAAATGTTTGTTTGTGTGTTCTTTTTCAGTGAACTCTAAGCATGAAGCACAATATGTAAATAATGTGATATATTTTGATCTTTTAATTTTTGTATAAAAAAAGGAAAAAAACACTTTTGACAGTAATATATTGACCTTTTTTTATACTGGATTCTGACATTTATGGACTTGGAAAATAATGTAAAGCTCCCAAACCCATACCATTGCATGGTAACACCAGGATTTGCTAAAGGTACCAATGACAGTAGCTGGGGACAAACAGTGCCCACTGCTCATGCTGCAGTGTGAACTAACAGTACTGAGCCAGCCTTGTGTGCCTTACTGCATGAAGGAGGGCAAAATCCCTGTCCTAATCTGGCTCTCAACTTCGTATTTGCATTGCACATGCACATTCAAAGGGTGAAAAAACCTGGCTGAAAACAAAGAAAAGAAGGATGCAGCCCTAAAAATGAAAGAAGCTGCTGTCTACTGTCTGGTCAAACAGGATTTGCAACCTGCAGAGGAAACAAAGCCAAGCTCCATCCATCGCTACCTGTGTGATGGAAACAGCAACTCTGGGGCTAAACAGAACAAACTTCACTGACTGTGGTTATTTCCTCTACAATCCTCAAGAGAAAGCACCTCTGGGTCCTGTTCTGGGGTCTGTGCCTGAAGATGTGCAAGCACTTTTTTACTGTGGAACACAAATTCCCCAGGAAGTCTCTACTGCAGAATTTCAAAACAGAAAAACCTGGTAATACTTTCAGTGCAGGGAGGTGCAGGACAGGGAAAGCTCTGCTTAAGTTCTTTCTTAAACAACAGAGCACATAAATTTGCTCTTGGGGTTCCCAAAAATTGGGAGTTTGAAGTATTTGTCTTGGGGTTCATTTGCTTTTTATTTCTTCTTGGTTTTCATGATTTTAACTGTAAACTAACTCTGCACTCTCGTCTTATTTCTCTTCACCTTTTCAGTCCCTTTTGTTAAATTTTCTCTTCTCAGGCACATCCCATGCAGAGCAGAGTAATGAATAGAATCATTATTATTTTGATATCTGCATATGCCACTGTGGGATCAATTAAAAATTGCAAACTATTCCACAGTTCACATTTTTTAAGATGTTGAAAAAATATCAATTGTGCAGCAGAGAGCCATTAAAAAATATTTCAAAGAGGAAGAAGATGGCTTACAGCTGAGTCTGTTCAGCTTACAATGAAGATCAAGAGGCAACCAGATTCCTTTACAGGGAGGAGGTACTTCGTATTAACAAGTTTTAAAACTGGACAGGAAAAGATATACAAATATTCATTCAATGGGTAGAAGTTGAAGCCACACAAACTCAAAAAATAAGCTGTGGGTTTTTATTGGTAAAACTGGTTAATCCTAACCAGACCAGTGATATAATTGCCATCCCCTTAATGTCATTTTGATTTAACAGATCATGTCTGGAGGAAATACTTAGCTCAATACAAGTTGCTGGGTTCTGCATAGGAGTTTTAGGTGAAATTAAGAGCCTGACCATAGTATCAAACATGGTATTATGGCTCTTTGTGGCCTTGATCTTAGAGAATACAGAAGGGGGCCAGTTTTGGTGCACTGAGTAGATCCAAAACCTCTGTTAAGATTCTTGCTTCACTGCCACTCTTACTGCAACTACTGCCAGAGAGGGATTGAGAGAGGGATGTGACCATCCAGGTGCAACCTGCCGTGTACAGGCTGACCTAGTGCTGAAGGTCTTGCTCTGATATTCTGAAGAACTGTGGGAATGTGCTTTGTGCTCCGCACAGGCAGGGTGATGTCTGGTGTCTGTGAGTTCTCAGCTGTGACCAGGCTTTGGGTGTCCTTGAGCTTATCCCCGGAGTAAGGGGGAGCCTGTGCTCTGTGCTGGTCAGTGCTGAAATGGCCACCAAGCTCGGGAGAGGTGACACAGCCTCAGGGCTGCAGGCAGTGGATTTGTTACCTGCTGTTGGCTGCTCAGGGGCTACACCTGCACATCACTGGCTTTGTGGCTGTACTTGGCATCTCTGCCAGTTACTCACCGTTTCCTTGGTCACCATACAGATTAAATCCATGTTAAATTCAGATCAACTAACAAATCAAGAAACAACAATTATGTAACTCAAAACAGCAATGAAAATGCATTTTATTTACTTCCATTTCAGGTTCTCAGCTATCACTTTTGGTGTAGGGGTTTTTAAAGGCATAAGGAACAGCTTACAAGCTTCCACTGGCCTTTAGTGCTTTTGAAAAACCCCTTTAATATCCCAAATTAAAGCTAAAAAATTTTCTGTGAAAGGTTGAAGGCAAATCTCTCATTGATGTTACCAGGAAGATCTGTAATTGTTCCCTTAATGTACAGTTGCTCTTCCCATCTCCCCCAGTCATCTCCAAATTAAAATCAGTTCACTATTCCAAACCATGCTGTGGGCTTCTACACTCAAATTCCTGCACATGTCGTGTTCATGGAACTTCTTTCAGTATCAATGAGAGTTCAGTCCCCAGAATGACTGCAGAAAGCACAAGAATCTGGAAGTGTCCACAAACAATCTACAATGCAGATAGAAAAGTCTTGTTTTACATACGCTGGCAAAAACTAAACAGCTTTCTATCTAGCTCCTACTTGAAGAAGTTTGATATCACTGAAGCTACAAGACAAGCTAACCTCCAAAGCTTATGAAATTATATTAAAATTTATATTTTCTCTGAGGAAATACCCCGAAGTCCTATTATCTTCAGGTAAACAAGTCAGTATTCCGTCTTCAACTTGTGGAATATCCAGTGCTTGTAGGCATCAACTGTGACCACTGCCAGGCCTGCAAAACATTGATACAGAATACCAGAATAGTGCTTTACCCTCTCACCGCTCTGCAAGGATGCCATCCCCCTCCCAGCACACAGCCTCTGCTGCCACAGCACCCAAGACATTTCTTTGTAATGGAGGAAGGCTGGAATGACCACTCGAGCACAGGAGTGCAGCTGTATCCACCCCCAGCAGTGCTACACCTCAGCTACCAAATCTTTTTGTGATCCTCTTTGGAAATTCTCTGGCAAGTGCCCTTGGTTCTGCACGTACAAAGATCATTTGTGCATGATGATTCCAGTCAGGAATGTTCAGGACACTGGACTCACTGCTCACGTGCAGTAGCTTCTCTGGACTCCTGCTGCTGCCACTCCCATCAGGAATGCTGGCAGGTACAGATCCTGCTGCACACTTCTGCCACTTTGGCTATGAGCAATTAACCAGTAGGTCTCTAAGGTCTGGGGGTGGTACATCCACTCTACCAGCCCTTCATCATCAAAGGAGCAGAGACCTGTGGAGAGCAGAGCTCCCGGGAGCCCATCTGGGAATGGATCCCCCAGCAGGGCTGGCACTGGCACCGCTGAGATTGGTGCATTTGGCCTTTAGATTGTGAACAGAGTGTACCTGGTTCCCTGCCCATGGCACACAGTTGGACCTAGATGACCTTTAAAGACAGTTCCAAGCCCAGCCATTCTGTGATTATCAATCATATTATTCAGATCAACAGACTTTATGAGAAGACCTGTTGGGTTTTGTACTGATTACGCAGAAATCTGTTTAGACTTCCACATGCCTTACACACAAACATATTTGTAAGAGTAGTTGTTACATACAGAGCAGTCATGATCTTACTACACTGAGTTATAAAGATGTGCTTTGCTCTGCAAATTCATGACAGATCATGATTATTTTCTCCTTCCATATGAAAATGTTTATCTGGGTCTTTCTGAGTATTTTGACTTCGCAAATAGCTCATGAAGACAAATTTTACGTCTAGGTAGTACTGGCAGTCTTGCTCAAAACTCGATCATTATCTCAGCCTTACACAAAGTTTAGGGCATTTTTCCCCCCCAAAGAAATCTCTCTTCTTTTGTTTTCCCCTCTGGTTTGAAAGAATCTGACACTGCTTTACAGCAATTCCAAAAAGCAGCTGAATGTTACCACTCTATGTCAGGAGCAATGAAGATGATTGACAGAGAGGCTGATAATGCTTATGAAATGTGGGTCGGTCTGTGACTGAGCCACTGATTTTTCTTGATCACTGAAATACCTGGTGTAACTTCATGGATTCATCAATACACATTCTGAGTAACACTATGAAGTTAATGATATTGGGAGAATCTGAAACTCAGGCAAATGTATTTTTGTTTTTTAGTTGACAAAACAAAATTCCTTCCTCTAATTTACCTGCTTATGAAAGCACAATACTTTCCCTGAGGTTAAGCCAACCATGGCTGCTGCAGGAATAGAAGACACACAGCTTTCTTTAAGGCTTCTTCCATTTCAAACTGTAGCTAATGACCATCACCACCAACATCCTCTCTCTTAATACACTGTGGCCCAGTTGGTTTTGAAAGCAAAGTTCCCAAACTGAATCATAAGGGTACAAGAACTCACTTGAGACCCCTAGAAGGTTTTTCAGCCACAAAGTTCTGCAGGCAGGCCTGCCATGCCATGAGACACAGCAAGTGCATTCCATGACTGAGGCTGGAGCTGCTGCTGGCTGTGGTTGTGTCAGTGCTGGTGATGCTGCACCCAACTCCTATGGGGAGCGCTCCCCTAAAGCTTCTGGGTAGCATGGATTTGGGGAAGAAGAGAATAAGGCAAAAAAACCCATGTGTGTAACTCCACACCTTGACAGCTTGAAAGGAAACTTGCCAGAGCGTGAACCTGATAATTTGGCCTGTTCTGATGGGGATAAATGAGATTAATTAAGAGTTTTGCAGCTCAGTCATGGCTTGGCCAGTGAGTTCAGCAGTATTTCTTTGGATTACAAAACAGGTGGCAGAGAAATCCTGATCTGAACCCAAACCAAACCTATTCCCAAGTGTCAATTCATCAATATTTTAGTTTAAAAACATCATAATCAAGATATGGGGAGCCACCTCTCCTGTATGCACTGCTTCTGACACTTCCTGTATATATAATGGTGATGAATTTATTTCTGTATGGATTTTTTTGTGTGTATTTAAAAATAAGAACATTTAATGGTAAGCGACTTTCTGATGTGTTTTCTTTTTAGGAAACCAATAGATAAAATATTTAGATGAGCTTTTGTCTTCTGTAATTTCATAAATTCAGAATTTGAAATCCTTAAGCAAACCAGCAAAACACGTAGGAGGTTTCAGCAGTTTAAGATATTCCATGCAATGGTGCAAAGTAATCCATGGAAAATGACACCTGTGGCTTTGAGATTGTTATAGTAACCACTACCCTGGGTAAAACTTCATTTTTGCACTCAGACAAATACAGCAGGCTCTTGGGTAAGAATGCAAGAACTCCCATGTTGTAATGCACAATTGATTAAAATAAGTAATAAAAATTAATTAAACTATTAAGATGCCAGAAAGTTTCCAGCTCTATCATAATGGTAAATAACTCCCCTGGCCCATCCATGTAATATGTGCACTGCAGGGGTGTTCCCTGGTCAGTGATTGCTGGTTCAATTCTGCCCTCTACAGGAGATTTTTTTTTTTTTAAGAGAAGCAGATATTATGCAAATTTTATGCTGTGACAGTGTCTCTTAATTTACAGCAGACGTGATTTTTGTGTAACTTTACGGTTTGAATAGATATTTGTAAAACCAGGAGTGCATGGATAGAAACTTCATTTTATTTTCAAACCTGTTATTTCTTTCTTGGGAAATACCATTGTATTCTCATGTTTTTTCAGTCCCACTGAGTTATTATCTGAGTTGCCCAGATAATTTACAGTGTTACACAAATAAAATCTATCTATAGTAGGCCTTCTGACACATTTCTATTTTTAAAATGTTGAGCATGGAAGCTCTGAATTATTTCCTTTGTAGGCAACAGATTTCTCCTTAATATGTGCAAAATATTAATAACTACAAATGATTAAGGTATAAAAATTTAAATGTCCCCAAACCACTCATCCTGGAGAAATAGTGCACGTATGTGGCTGAAATCAGATAAGTGAGTTTGGTTCAAATGTGCTCTAGCAGAGGAAGGAGCTCCCTGCCCTCAGCAGTGTCCAGGGGTGGAGAGAACTTCAGTATTGCTTTGTTTGCCTTGAAACGCCTGGTTTGTACCTGTTCAGGACAGCCTAACATGCTGAGCAGCACACTCAGCCTTGCAGAGGTTTAACCAGCAGATTTTTCAAGTGAGAAGTTACATATATGGGTAATTTCCAAAGGCCTGTGACACTTTAACTTGCCGAGGCAATCGCTGTGGCACACAATGAACCTGGCAACTTTACAGGACAGTGTTTATGTAAGCATATTTCTTGACTCTTTTGCAATGTTTAATTATTTTTTTCTAAAAGGAGGGGGCAGAGAGAAACATCTGGTCACTCTAGTTAGTCCAGTCTGTGTCATTTGCTGGAGTCACCTGCCTTTTAACCATGTCCCTGGCACTGCACTGGACCTGGCCATAATTAGTTCAGTTTGAAATACTCCAGAGCCCAACTTGGAAACTTGAAATCTATTGCAGACTGAAGCAAACCAGTGAGTAAAAAAATCCATTTCCTGAACTTTATTTTCCCTGGTGGTCATTTATATTTGTAAGTTAAAAATAATTTTTAGTACTTTCACATCCCCAGGTGAACTACTGCAACTTTGCCATGTGCTTGTGTCCCATTAGATGGCACAACACAAGGAATGTGTGACTATTGTGTAACCTGCAGCAAAAATAAGTGCTGAAAATCTGTTAGATATGAAAAGACAAAGGACTTAATAGATTATATTATTGTATACAACTGTGGAGCCTGGGGGAAACCACAGGAAGGCTGGGAAACACAAGTTTTCCATACATAAAAAGTTGAATTTTTGAAAAGAGAGTGGCATAAGAAGTACATTAGTAACATTTGTGGTATTCCTATATCTTAGGACAAACAATTAATTCCTGTTTTGTTAAATTCTGCTAGAAGTTGCCTTAAGTGTGGTTTCATGGAACAGTCAGCTCACTTCTGCGTCAGCTCACTTGTGTGGTTATTTACATAACTTAGATATTAATGAACAGAAACCTAAAACGGAGGTGACCCAACTATGTGTAAATGACACTGATCCCATCTGCTGCTTTTTATTATACTGTCAAACACTGTATTTGAAAAGGTCATTTTACAGGAATTTATTAAGTGTAGGTGAGTGTTTATCAAACTTGTATTCTTGCATTTACATTAAAAAATTAGAATCTGGTTTTGCAAAGCAAAAGCACCCATGAGATCCACTGAGTTTTTGAATTTAGCAGGAAAGGTCATAAGCTGCCATCAGTGGCAAATGAGATCTGGAGCCTGTTGTGTTTGCTGGTTTGTTTCATAGAGTGCAGTTTTATAAACAATTTTGTAACAGCTTTTTGTGTTTCAGTTTGAGTTTCCTTTTTTTGCTATCTTAAAATAATCAAAAATACTGAATATGAAGAATGTTCAGCACAAATACCACAGACAAAACTGAAAGCCCCCTGCTTTGTTGCATTATGTGACTTTGGACATAGAAATAATACAAAACTGGTATATAGATTAGCATTTGAGAAACTGCACTTGCTGGTATCTCAAATCTGTATGCAGTTTAGAAAAATACATGCAACATGTGCCTCATCTGTCCATATTTGTTTTGAAATTATGCCAATAGAGCTTAATCCTCTACCACATTAAGCAAGTGTCCCTTATTTATGTGAGCAGTTGCATCACTCCAGGGAGGCTGTTCAAAGGAGAAAGGATTGTTTGTGTGTTTGCAGTTTGCCAAAAATAAGTTTTGAATGTATTTACATGATATTTTATACAAAGCTGACTAAATCTCTGCATATCACCTTTGAGAAGAAATATATAGATATTAAAATTATAGAAAATGTACTTAGCATCTCCATTTGCAAACTGTTTGTGGTTTTTGATCATGTATGTGCCACGAAAAGTATTCTATTTACTCTTCTTTGGGGAACAATTACTTTAAAAATGAAGGCAATAACAGTATTTCTTATCCATTGTTTTAACATGTTAAAATTGTATTAATTAGTACTGCATCATGTATTTCTAGTTTAAAGCTGTAATGGACAATACATTACCTTGAGACCTAAAAAACCTTTTTTTTTCTTGTGCTTTTCTTAATAAAAGCAAAGACTAGATTTTTAAAATGGTCTCTTTGTACAGGTTTACTTTTACAATTGTGTGAATATGTATAATGAACTCTGCATTTGTAACCAAGAGTAAACTTTACAAATTGTAAATGTTCAGGTTGTTATTATAAATAGCTAGTAAATATCTTAACCAGACAAGAGTTCAAATAAAGATTAACAGCCAGTATTAACTTTTTCTCCACTGTCTTTTGTTACTTAAAACCTGATCTTTATGAAACAAAGGAGTTAGACTAAATACAATCTAAGTACATAGCAATTTAGTTTTGCATTCTCCATATTGTACAAAATTTAAATTCCTGTCTTTATCAAGTAATTGCAGCTAGAGGTAATTATTGGTTGCTATATCTAGTCAGCAAAGTCTGCCAAGTGTAGTTTTAAATGTATCTGTTCTGTTTTTCTAGAGTTTTAGAGCAGTTTGTCATTTTAAACCAAAAGAATGTGAATGTGTATTTGGAAGGAAAAAAAATATCTCATTTTCTAGAATCAAGTTGGACAAGTTGATGAACCCAATTGGTTATAGGATACAACACCTGCAGCAGCAGAACTCAGTCCATCACACAACCTCCCTTCTGGTTATCTTCCTATTTTTCTTTAGGTAATTCCAGTCAACCAGGAATAGAAGGAAGATCATTCTAATCTGATTGACAGCATTTCCTCTTTTAATCCTAACTATTACCTGCTTGGCTCTGAAGGAGTCAGTCAGGTGTCTGCTTTTATCTGCCACCAACCAAACACAGGGGTACAATATGTGAAAGTCTGGGTTTACTTCTGCTTAAACAATGAAATATGTGGAAGAGTTATTCCAGTTCTACCACCTTGGCTACCCGCTGAAATTATTTTCTACTGTAAACGAGACTTCCTTGATGTGAATTTCAAACGAAGAGTGCTATAGCTGTGCTAATGATCCTGAAGAGCCTGTTCCTCCCTCCGAGGTGAGTGGGGCGTGGGGCTGGAAGCACCCGAGCAGTGTGAACCCCCGGGGTGTCTGTTTTAAGGCTGAGCTGCCAGCAGCCCCGCAGGGCCCCAGCCCCGGAGCATGTCCCGATGTGTCCCCACTGCTGCCTGCGGGGAAGCGCCGTCCCGCCGGCTCCCCGGCCGAGCTCCTGCCCCTGCGCTGCCGCCCCTCCCCGCCCCTCCCCTCCCCTCGCGGCCCGGCCCCCGCGGGAGGCGGCCGCTCCCT